GGGGGGGGGGGGGGGGGGATACCATAAATATATATATATATATATATATATATCATATATATATATACATACAGTGTATGTAAAGGTGTATGTCACTGTATGTCTATACTCTTTTTATATGTGTGTGTCTGTGCATGTTTAGAGCCTTTACAAAAAGCAGCGGATCAGCTTCGAGCCTCCATACCGACAGAACTCAGGGCTGGGAGGGGTTCTGTGCGACGGGCAGCTCCGAAGACTGCTGGTTCGACTCGACAATCCGGCGTAGCAGAAAGATAAGATTGCCATAGTAAGAAAGCAGAAAGAGCAACAGCGCTGATACGAAGAAGTCAAAATAAGACTGAAGGCAAAACGGATGGTAATCCATGGAGAGCAGGCTGGCTTCTTTTATATACGTTCAAGGCCAGCAGATCCTGGATAGTTTGCGAAGCAGCAAAATCCCAACTTCGTCTGAGAGCTTGCTTCTCCACTTCCTGAAGCTTCTGTTGGGGGGCATCTGATGCCCTCCTTGAGCCTCTTTTTTGGTGAGACAAGGGAACATGCACAGAGGCACAACTACCCTCAGCAAAGCTCCGACACAAAGGCCGGGTGGCCACGGGTCCATGGGGTGCTGGCGTCCGCGGCCTATTTGGGACGCTGTTGGCTTCGAGTTCTAAATTCTGCCACTCTAAATCCTCGTTGTGTGTGTGAGGGGCTACAGTGTCCAAGATCATACGCCCAGAGCGTCAGCGACCAAAATCACAGATGCGCGGATTTAGACCTTAGATTGATGCCGAGGGTGTCAGATTTCGGGGTTAGGAGAAATCTGCCGTGGCATTCAGAGAGATGTTTTGAGATCGCTTTGGATGGACAAGGCTCAGGTGATGTTAGAAATCCGAAGCGGCACGCCGAAGCTCAGGAGGCAAGGGTCGTGGCATCCTAAACTCAAAATGCCGAACCACGAAACCTTCAGTCTCGTAGGCAGCATGCCCAGGTCTGGTGGGGGAACACACTGCAGTACTTCGTGATCGTTTGGGTGGCGACCGCTCTGCTGTGGAAGCAGGACGTCACCTACAAAAGTTACAAGGTTTCGCGGCCTGTAAGCAGGCTGGATGCGCAAAAAAGCAGCCTACAGGGTTGTGAAGTAAGGTAAGGGTGTTCCGGTCAGTCTGTCAGGTCTTGCATAAATCTGACAACCCGCACCTGGAAGCAGCATCTCCAGGATTCGTTTCAGCTGGACTACTACGCATACGGCCTCCCAGGTTCGACATGCAGAGTAGCGTGCTCGCGGACGCTTGCAATACGTCTGATGCTACGTGGAGTTTAGGGGCTTTGGGCTTGATGCACTTTGCACGATGGTTTCTGGTTGTCGTGTGATCGGGCGGAGTTCCCACTAACCTGCCGATGCGGGCCCCTTTCCCCGAATAACCCTTTAAATGTGCCAACATGCCTGATGTCTCTTGTGTTTCGAGTTAGTTTTGTGACTACTGCTGTGCTGAGTTGAGCCTATAAAGATGTTTCATATTCATCTCAGGATTCTCGTCGCCATTTTAGAAGCAGCCGTGTACTGTGGAATGCTAGGCATTCAGAATTCAACACATCCTACATAGGGCGAAGCCCTTGCCATGCGCAAAAGCCCCTGCACATGTCATAATGAGCACCCGGCTGGTCTTGTGGAATTGCAATCGCTGCCAGACGCAAAGCGCCAGAGTCGTGAGCCTAAATCTCGGACCCCCATACCCGAAATCTCTTGTGGCTCAGACCCGTAATCTGAGTTACAACCTGAACCTTGGAAACTGATCCGGCGCCCTACAAATCACAAGATGGCAGGCCAAGAGGGATTTCCCTTGGGTGGCTTCTGCGAGCAGTACCAGGCTAGCCAGGGAGGGAACAGAGCCAGATTACTCCTCTACGAAAACTATAGCAAAACATACCGCACAATGCTTAAGCAAATAGTATCGTGCGCTGCCGACGGGAAGTATGTTGTTCTCCTAAGGTCCATTTGTGTCGGGTTCAAGGGTAGAGCGCCTTGGCCGGTTTAGGGCCTATGCGGCTGCAAAATTTTGGCTTACGGGTTTGTAGGGCTGGAGCCTTCTTCGTAAAGCTTCGCAGGCCGTGGTTCAGCATAGTTCATAGAGGGATATAGAGGGTATTTTCCGGTGTCCTTCACGGCAAACTCTTCGACTCTGTCACCTGAAGCCGAGGCAGAAAACGGACAGCAAGTGTGATAACGCATGACCCGACACGCCATCTGAGACCGCGGGTATATCATGCACAACACAGAGGACGCAGGGCGCAGTGCGCTGGACAGTTAGATTCATTGAAGAGAGTATGCATTAGACTCACTTGACCCTGGAGAGCGCATGTAGACCGGTGGGACAACCATAAACCAGAACAACAATCACTAGTTGGAATGCAATTTTGCAGTAGGCCAGAGACCATGCAGAGTGTTGTTTTTGTTGTTGTTGTTGAGCAAGACCACAGATGACGCCATATGTGAACTAATATATACTTGGATATATCTATGTATATGTATATATCTGCTTAAACAGGTTTGGCCGATCGGTTGACCGCCTCGACGCGCATCACTAATGCAGACTTGTAGACGGAAAGACACCCCAGATTATGCCACACAACACTTCCATCTCTGGCGGCGGGTGCACGTTTGGTTTTGGAGTTTAGTCGGTTTGGGAAAGCGAAGCTTGTTATTGTTGGCGCATGCTGTCCCAATGATGCCCGGTGGCTCTTCCGCGCGTGGGCATGACAACTCAAAAGCCGACACAGCAAAGATTAGCCACAATCCCCTGCCGGTGTGTTCTCGGCACAGGTCAACCAGCAACCAGCACCTTGATTTTGTCGGTTTTTTGGTGTGTAAGCAGAATTAAGTGCGTTTTTCAATAGAGACCGGAACACGATGACTGCATGCTCGGCTGGTCACCGTGTGGATGCCGGTTGCCGGGGCAGCCGACAAGTCGAGGCCTTGGCTCGTAAGCCATGTAAGCCGCTGATGGCCCCAGGAAAAGGGTTTAGGGTTTAGGATGCTGAGCTTTGAAGGTGGGAGCTTGGTTCTTCGAGGATGAAGGTTTTATGAGGTCCTCGCAGTGTGGCTTGAGGGCCTGGAGCAGAAACACAGCAGCAGATGTCATACAATCTCATGATTTTGGAAAAGAAGGTCCAGGCTAAATGCTTCCTGATGATTGCTTCCGGTGTCATCGTTTTGTCAAAGGGAGCAGGTCATGTGGACTCTTAGCCGGGCAACACAATGATCATTGCCGGCATCGCTTTGGCGCTTTTGGAGGGTAGCCTTTGTTGAACAATGACACGTAGCATAGAACAGGTCAGGCGAGAAAACGACGCATCACTTGTGACACTTGTGTTTGCATGCCATGGATGTAGCGGCGAAGTGGCCGATGACCGACGAGCTGTGCGCCAGCTCCAAATGCCATCAGGACTCGTATGGGGTCTGAAGCTGGCACAGATTCGCACAACACAACCAAATCCAAGTAGTTTCCAGGCCTGCCCGCCTTGGAGGATGACAGCACCGGATCGCAAACCGATCCGCCCCCAGTTGATCAGTGGCACCGGAGTCACCAGAGCACACCGTCGCCTTGTCGGGCATTTCTACCCGAGCCGGAGAATGATTGCAGGCTGATAGGTTTGTCTTGCTCTGGCTTGAGTGGTAGTTGGGCTCTGGGACATGGAGCTCCTTCGAAGGAACTAGTGGCTAGGTATGTGTGAGGGGTTTCTTTTTCGCTCTGCCGATTGCGATTCAAAGGGGCATGGCGAGGGTATAAATTGCAATTCTCCAAGCCCGGGCCAGAATTCTGGCCCTGGTCACAGCTTTGACGTCCTGGAGAGAAGTTGTCCTGAAGAGTAAGCGTATGGAAGCGTGCGAGAAGACAGTTCTTCTGCCGATAAGGCCAGCCGTGACTGCAGGAGCAGTACGTAACAACCACGGCCACGAAGGCAGCAAGACTGCGTAAAGACCAGGTTTCAAGCCCAAGCCTTCCTCAGAAGGGTTTCCCAACGCAGGACCTGGGCTCCCGCGCTCAGAGCAGGCAGGTCGGCAGCAAGCCGAGGCTCGCGTGGGGCGATTGCTCCGCCAACAGCTTCCTAAGACGACTTGGGAGTTTCAGAAAATTGGGGGGTACCTTGTTTTGGGGTCCTTATAATAGGGATCCTACTATTTAGGGTACTATATTAGGGTCCCCTATTTTGGGAAACCCCCATTTCCGGAATAGTGGGAAATTGATCGTCAAACTACGGCTCAAAATGCCTGAGGACATGACTTCTTTTGCCCTTCATAGTTCCTAGCTTTCCGAGCATGTTTGCCAACAACAGAAACCTGACTAAATTCCCACGGAACGGCAACCATCGTGGTATCAGATTGAGACATGGTTGTAGGTTTTAGGGTTTCAGGGCAGACGGAGAGAGGTATCAGATCACGCGGAGAACCACTGCACACGAACCTCCGCCGCCACCGCCGCAGAACAACAAGGACTGAAACTAGGACTCGGACGAAGAAAGCCATCACCAGCGACACCGCCATCAGCAAGAGAAACAGCAGCGGCAGCAGGCAATTTGGTTGGGATTGAATCTGTGGTTTCATTCTCCCAGAATGTAAAGTAGAAGGCCCTTTGCAGCTGCACGAGTCTATCGCTGAACCTGACTAGCCGAATCTCAACAGAAACCACCAGGGTCTTCAAAGAAAGACAGGAGTTGACGAGCTTGATGAGGATCTGCAACTCCGGATACAGCAGGAGGATAATCACCAGAGCTGCAAACGGATCAAAGCGCCCTCATGTAGAATCGAAGGCTAAAAAAGTATCACGAACCCGGAAGATCCCATGAGACAGGCACCTGGGCCTCTGCCTGACCCTGGCGATGCTGACCTTCCTGCTAACCTCTGCCTGTGACTGGCTGGGCCCCGGATCGCATAAAAGGCTCGGCCTTGGGTTGAGGGGCACATTTCATTGCAAGAGTCGGTCGAACAGCAAGAGAGACCACCATGATTCTGGTAAGTTTGCTCAAACTGATATGCTAGAAGCACGTCAAGCTGCGGTACTTTGTAGTATTCTGGTGGTACTGTACTAGCATCGGGACCCACGAGCTGATGGTGATGGGCTTCATTGGGCTCCCCATTTCTGTGGAAGTAAATGTGGGCCACGAAAATGCAGCAGCTACCAGCACTGCCAATCACAATAGTTAGGCTCAGGTGTCAATGGCCAATACTGTTCGTGTTGGTGGGTTGAAGTAGCTTTCAGCGAAGGTCGTATCCGACGGCCTCATGAAGGGCTTTTGAAGATGCCTGACGAGCGACCAATAAGAATCGAGCGGGCGAGCTCGGAACCCAAGAGCCTTTTGAAGCTTCGCTTGGAGGTCACAGTCTTCTCACAGTCTTCAGACTTCAAAGTCCAAGCCACTCCGAGCAAGGCCGCCTCTTCTCGTGCAGCGCCGTGCCTGCCGCGCCAAGCAGATGCTCCGCGGCCCGAAGAAGCTGCCGAAACCGCGTCCAGGCTGCATTTGCGGCCGGCGTGGAGCCTGGAGTTTGGCCTTTGCTGTAGCAGCTCATTGGCACAATCCGGAGTTTAGGGTAGGAGCGTAGAGATGAGATATTGACGGATCCTCTTAAACCGAGACCCGAAGTCAGCAAGGTCCGAACATTTGTGTTCGGGAATATTGCAAGGTGGGATGACCTGAGTATTCAGGTCACATGCGCTTGCCAGGCAGAAGCTGCAGTGAAGGTGGTGGGTACGGAGCAGCCGAAAAGTCTGCGAAGCTCAACCCTTTTGATCTCAGCGAAACACATGCGGATCTGTCTCGCAGGTTTTTTCCAGACCCTAGATGTCCTGATGCTTCTGCTCCGAACTGCATTCCTTGCGCGAAGACTTGGACTCGGCATGCTCAACTGTATTCTTCATGTCTGAGGATCGTTAAGCAGAAAATCTCGCCGGGGCGTCGGCTTGCGAGAATAGAAGAGATGATCGATGCCCTGCCGACGAGTTTACCACTGCACCCGTCCTGGAAGCTGAATGCAGGGTTTGGGGGAATGAGCTTTACCCCTCAATCATAACTTGGGCTTTAGGGGTCTGGTCCAGTATCATGCATCTCCTCATGGTTGACAATCATCATGGCGAGACCAGGTTTAGAATGCTCAGGTTGGAGGTTACTGTGAAGTTTACAGGCAACCGGGTGAGAGCTCTCAAAGACTCTTCTTAGTTGATATGACGCTTCGGGACGGCGGATCGATACTAAGCGGCTCAATCTCACAGGATTGCTTTGAGGAGACGCCCCAATGTTCAAGCACACGCGACATGGCCAGACTGCCGGCAAGATCAAGCAGGTCAAGTTCGAGGAGGCGAGAAAAGAAGGTCGCCGGGCTCCTATTCTCTGTTGGTGGGGGGGCAGCAAGAAGAGCAAGCAGGTAGTCATACCACATCGAGCGATGGATGTTTAAGTCAGGCAAGGGCGGAAAAGTCCGGATGGTCATGTCAGCAATAACTCAAAGCAATATTGGAACACTGTCATAGTAGGCCCCACAACCCATTGCTCCTACTGCCTCCCCCTGAACCTGCAGTGGACAACATGCGCAAGATGCGCAACGGGCACAAGTGGTGGAACCTTGGCTGCATGTCAGCCCAGAGTCCAAGGGCCAGGCACAGACCTCAAGTTCCTTCTGCGACCGGTTGTGGCTTTGAATTGGTTTTTGCCTTGGCCGTCTAACTGCCTGCCAGGGGTTGTGAGGATGTCGGACATGGGGTGTTGCTCCCGCGTAGTGCATGCAGGCACACGGATATGCCTTTGCTCATGGTGCAGGGTATAGACAAACTTGAAAACGCGTATTTTGTCTTCCAAGTAACACATTGCTTTTTGCCCACGGTTGTAACTAGTTGGTGTGGTGAGCAGCCTCACGACTGCTCCAGACATCTTTGACGTGGACGCTTGAGCCCCTACAAACCCCGAACCGGTTCCACTGCAAGCCCTGAGCCGTTGTTGTTTGGCTTCTTGCTTGGACTGCTGAGAGTTGGCCTAAGGAAGGGCAAACTCCCTAGCTCCGACGGCGACGGAGGTGCCTCTTTCAGGATTTCGTAGTAGCACGGCTTTGTAGCCCCTGTAAAATTACAATCTTGCTTGCTCCAAGAAAGAACATGGAGGCTAGATGCAGCAGCTGCTAGAAGCACAGTTCTGCGGTATAGTCAGGTTTGCTTTCAGCTCGGACGCCCCATGAACCAGGTGCCTACGAGTACGTCAAGCAATATGGTGGTGAGATTTCAAGTTGCTTGGCGGCCATCAGCCTCTTTGTTTCTCCAAATTGTGGCCCGAGGCCATTGAGTTACAGCGGGGTAGCTTGAATGAATAGGAGATATGGCCATGTGATAGAGCGGCAACAATTCGTGCGCAAAGCGGCGTAGCCGTCTAGATGCCCAGCGCAGCATTTGCAGTAGCAGCAGTAGCATTAACGGTGTTTGAGAGGATGGCTTCCGGATATCCTCAAACCACCAGGCCGTGGCATCTCGGCTTGGAGCTATGGATTTCAGGCTTTCTGGGTCACGACTTCGAGATTTTCGTGCCCCTTGTAAAACGGGATTGTGGGTTTATGACGGGGTGTGCGATTGTGGGTTCAAGGTGGTGGGCGGGTAGGTCGGGTACGGGGGCTGGGGTTCCGGGGTACAGGGCTGCGGGGCTACGGCTTTTTTCCGGGTGTGTGCTGGGGGCGTTGGGATTTCTAGGGCGATCAAAGAAACCCGCCTAAGCTCGCAAGCTCAAAAGAGCATGAAACCCAGACTCTCGACCTTCGTCCCAGCTCTAGACCGTTTGCCACTCACTTCTAGATTCTAGACACAACGACTGGTCCACTTTCCTCCCAGAAGGAATTTGGAACGATCCTCTCGAGTCCGAAGACCTGGCTATGCTTTTCGATGCTTTCGATGCAGATCTCGATGAAGAGCTCCTGCCGCTCCGGTGCATCAGTGGTGGTGGGCTTTGAGCGGTTCTTAGATCCCTTAGTTAAGGTCCTCTTCGAGAATAACTGAATTAATGTTCCTCTTGCTCCACAGCCGCTGGCCCTGCTGTGCCACAAAGCACTGGTGGTCGCCGCGCGCCTTGCGCCCACCCCTGAAACCCAAGACCAGGTGACATAACAGGCAGAACACTGATTCAAGCATGCTGCAAAAGAAGGCCATTCTTCGCAGACAATGACAAATAGGACGTTTTCAACAACAAAGCAACAACCTGAAATACATGTTTGCGGAGTTCTGCATATACAGCGAGATTCAGGTATATGAAGCTTGGAGTCATCACTCTTTCAGTGCCAGCTCATGGCCTACCAAGGCCCGTGGTCGTTTATGAGCCTCGGACGGCAAAGTGGGTCGTGTGCTGAGAACGGAGCTGTTTAGGGCATTGGGCTTGTATTGGCTTAGGTTAGGACCTGGAGCGATGGAAAAGTAGGCACTTGCTTCAGAAAGCGGTGCGAAGACATGGCAGAGATTCTCATGCCAACGCCCCCAATTGCCACATCCCCGCACGAACCTGCGTCCAAAGTTTCAGCGGGTGGGAGGGAGGCCCTGTGAAGGATCGAGCCCCAACACTAGAAGTGTCGAGCTCTGGTGAAAATTCAGTAGGCACAACTGCCCAAAGCTTGAAAGCGCCTTCAAGACCCGGAACAGTCAGCTGGTGGGGCCAGCTAAGGCTAAGGCCCCCCCCCCCCCCTCGCCCCATATTTCTTTGGTTGAAGTGCACCTCTCGCCCGCCTCCCATTCCAAAGAGAGCCTTCAGCCACTCAGGGCCTGAAGAACGCCTTCAAAGAGCCGAACCTGGATCAGGCCATGTGGGGGAAGGGAGCTGGCGAGGCTTGCGAATTCAGTTTCGGGATCCATGTTGCAAATCTTCGGTCTTGTTGCGCAGACTTCTTGTGCTGCTACAGCTTCACACTTTGCATGTGCTTTGCAACCCCCGACGGATTGCAGGTGACCGCGATCTTGGAAGGCATGGCGATAGCACGCCACACTTACGACGAAGCCTACAAGGTACTGATTTAGGCTCAACCTCGGTGCTGATTTTGGGGATTTGTCACGGCTGGCAAGGTCGTCGGGGAGACTGGAGCCATGCTGCTGGGTGAGGCCTTCGATTCCTTCGATGCGTCCTGTCAAATGTCTCGACCCTGAACCCCAAAAAAACTCTCGTTCAGTCATGCAGGAGAAGACAAAAAACCCTCAAGCCCCACCTTGCCCCGAGATGGGCTTAGTGCTTCATACCCAAATTGTAACTACGACAGCGACATGGAGGCTTGCAGCAGAAGGGTCCCAACTGGGTCCGAGACTGTCAGAATCTTGCAGGGGACGGAGTCTGAGATCGCGGAGTTCGGCTTCGCACTGTCCCTCGCCGTGCAGCGCGCACCGATGCCCGGCCATGTCACAGCAATCGGGGGTCAGGTCATTTTTTGAAAGGACGCGCGAAAGCGTTTACTTTCCAGCATGTTCACCTCGGACATGAGCTTCTGGCAAGCTTTCTTGTCGCTGCCCTGAGACACTCAGCACCCGAAGCATTGAAACCCAGGAAGCAGTGCTTCCTTACCCTGAAGGAGGGCCTGTCCCCTCAGCTGCAAATACTCGCTGGGGTTGCGATGTAGGAGGTAGCAATGCATGGCCTCTTATCAGGAGGCAAGTAGTGCAAAACAAAGACGATCTTACCGGGTTGGTCGCTGTTCAGACCTAGCAGAGGTTTTGCCACAGTCGGGTTTTGTTGGACGGCTATCTGTCTTTCAAACTTCCAATCTTGGGTGAAGTTGTAGATGAAACCGGTCCGACGGTATGCGTAGGAGTCAACTATGTCCGAGAGCGTTGCATGCCCGCCGTTCTCGTGATGACCGACTAGTTTGCATGCGACCTTGGTATTCAGTACAGAAGCGGCTGAGTCGATCAGGCCGAAGAGATCCAAAGAGCATATCCACCATGGATCGTCCGAGACTGTTCATAGACGCACTTGGAAGTTTGACTCGAGCCACTGGGCCTCGGTGTTGGGACTCGCAGCAGCGGTTTGATGATGTAGCGAATGTAGCGAGGCGTTGACGGCTTGCCCTGAACCTCAGAACCCGAAAGGTACGAGGGTTCACGCTTTTAGGAAGCAGTTGGGACATGTCAGGCCAGATCCTCCTTGGCCTCTTCCTGCACGCTGTTGTGCTCAGGCAGACCTATCTGGAGAACGTGCCGGGGCTATCGGTTCGCCTGCTGCCGGGCTTGGAGAGACTCCGGAACCAGAATCTATGCTTCGTAGAACAGCTGAGCTGCAGAACGTTAGCATTCGTTCTATGTCCTTGCATGCAATGCTGCAGTTCGAGCCTGTGGCGTCCAGCAACTTCATTGAAGCCGTGTTGGGCTATGGGTGGGGAAGTGTGCGATGCTGGTGTTCAGGAGGGTTTTCTGCAACAGTCGGAAAACGCGAGTGCTCCCTTCTCAGATCTGGAAAAACGAGGCTCGCGTGGGCCTGCGCAGAGGGCGGCTCTCCACTGCCGGAGCTGTTTGGAGTGCCTTCGGCCGAGGCACGGGATTTAGGACGAGGATTTCTCGCTCCTTAGTTGGACTTCGACTCTAGACTCTAGACATGGGGGTTACTTCCGCTGAAACTTGCGGGTTCAGGACTTTGTAGCTTTCATTTTTGGTGGGCGTGAGCGGTTCAAACGCCGAAGGCTTGCCCACCGGTCTTTTAATGATTTCAGCATGTACCTGCATCGCCCCCAATCCGAAGCGCCAAACCCCCCAGCCAAGCCTAGTAGGCCGTGAGACTTGTCGCTCTTGCCGCACGCACGATGTAGATGCTGAGGCAGTAGCTAGTGCCGCTGGCAAGTCGGAATCCATGCAGCAAGGAGCGTTTCAGCAACTCATTGCAGCTCCAGCGTGTGCGAGCCATGGCTTCGACTTCCGGTCCGTTCAAGGTTGGTGCGCCTGCCGAGCTGCTTATCAACGACTATGCCGAAATCGGCTTCTCACGTGGTCGCCTCCTGGAAGAGGACGCCCTGCGGGCTCTGCCGGCTGCGCAACCACCCTGCGCAGTCCCGGATCCACACGGGCGCAACCACAGGTGTCAACGCCACCCGGGGTGCCGCAGAATGCAGGAGCCGCTTCTCGACTGCCCGTGCGACCCGTCTCGACTGATCTGTCTTGGACTCGTGAGTTGGGCGGAGCCTTGCCAAGTTGCATTCGACCTCGTGGACGTGCTGGCGATAATTCACCAGAGCCAAATAGGAACATTATCCGTCGAACAGGAAGCGGCAGGGCGGTCCACCTCTCCTTGGCAACAACGCTGGCACTGGAGCTTCGGCAGGGCTACTCTTGGCGTCGCCTAGGAGCCGCCAAGTAGTGCACCATTTTCGGTGCTTGAGACCCTTGTGAAGCAGGCCGGACAGCTCAAAGAGCACGCAGATGGCGCACTGCCTCCACTGCCTCCGACTTCCACAAGCCTCTGGTTTAGCGTGGGCCGCATTGGTGGCGAGAACATCTGAGCTAGGGCACGAATACGGCACGACCACAGTTGTTGTCAGGTAGCCAAAACTTGTTGTTAACTAGCCCCAACGCGTGCATCCTTCCCGGCACTTTGGCGGGCATTGCCCTGGATTTGGCCTGCCCGCCTGTAGTCCACGAGCCAAGCCTGCAGGGCAATGTCGAAGATGCAGACCGTTCTGGAAGGGGATGGAGCGAATAAGGTTCGGTCATTCCTGGCAATCGGCATTCCTGGGGCACAGCTGGGGCTCCTGAGTTGTTTACTGCATGGAGTCCGACGACTGTGCCCTCTGCCTGGTGGACCATTGAGCTGAGGCTTAGGATCTGATTGTGCCACTTTACACTAACTCATGGAGACCTAGGAGGGCCTCCTCGTTAGCTGCCTGCCAGTTGCTTTCAGTGAGTGGGCGTGGCTGATAGTGGTTTTTGATTGCTTAATGCCTGAGTTCGGCTACGAGACAGATGGTCGGGATGCTGTGACGCTAATGAATGTTCCGTCGAGCGCGAGTGCCAAAAACTTGGTCTTGAGGAACTTGCAGAAGTGGTAGCCCGGTATGTTCTTGTAGCAGTGTTGGTGTTTGGCTGGGGCTTGGTAGAGTCTTGTTCGAGATGTACTGGGCTGCGGCCTTTGCGACATGCCTTGCCAGTGCGTGGGATCCTGAGTGTTTGGACGCTTCGACAAGCTATGCTGGCAAAGAGGTGGTTTCGACTGCAACTTCCTTCGGCCCTTTGGTTATTGGGTTTGTGTCTAAAGGTATGTTGGGCTGAATGGTTATTGAACGGTTATTGTATCATCGTGGGCGTTATAGCTTCTTGTAGTGTCGTCACAACAAGTTTGCCACAGTCAGCTCCTTATACATCCCGAAGCCATGTGATGAAATTGAAGGTGCCTGGCGACTTGGCCGAGCACGTTTGGTCGACCTGCTCATCCGTGGCTTCCGAGACCAAGCGCCCTAGCCGCAATGGCAACAAGCTTGGTCCACCCACCGGGCCAAGACCAGTTGGTAGAATAGTGGCTCATTTGGGGATTTCTTGTTCTGATTTTTCCAATCTCTGTCGCGTCACATCTCGAAGGGGGCCGGAGCACGCACATCACCACCTCGACTCTCGATCCCAAGCGCTGAAGCCCCGGGCCGCCCACTAGGGCCACCCCCTTTTCAGTGCGCTGGACTCAAAACAGCTGTTTCTAATGGGAATTTGGTCGAAAGCGATAAGACAAACAGAGCCTGGAGACCTCGTCTGGCTGAGGCCGAGGTCCGAGAGCCTAAACAACAAACGATACGACCCTTCATCCATAAGCGCCACATACGCTTTATGGTTTTCAAAGTCAAAACTATGCAACTTTATGTTGAAGGTGTTTTGGGGTGGGCCTCCGAGCTCGGAGCTTAGGGGTCCCCCCGCCACAGGAACAAGTTGGTCGCGGGCTGGCCCTTACCCATCGTGGAGGCATCCGGAGTGCTCTCCGAGCTGCAGATGACTTCACTGGTCGGTCTGGCTGATGAGCCCCTGGGAGCCCGTTTAGGGGTTTGATTCAGGAGCGACAGAGGTGTCGCTCAGCATTTTTTGAGGGGATTCGGAATTCGGATTGGAGATCTAGTGATTCCATTGTTGCAATACCACGTGAGGGTGCGAGTGCCAAGATGCCATTCCAATTTGGGTTGTCGGATCTCAGCTGAGGAACGAGCAATCGGGTCGGCTAAAGTGAGGGGCGATCATTGGTCAAGGGTACCTCGCGGTGGAAGGTTTCAAACCGACATAATCGAAACTTGGGGCCTGAGGGGAAAAACTCAAGTAAGTATATGGTCCCGACGGCCTTTGCACTCCTGCTATTTTCTAGTTTCTGTACAAAAGTACACCCTCCATCAGCCTTTCCTGGCTTATGTTCGCTTGTCTACAAGTAGATAGGAATGATCTTTGGCGGCCCTCAGCGCGGCGTGGCGGGGCTGCCCTGGAGGGCTCGCCGTGGACGGCTCTGCTCAGCTGCAGGGCATAATTATGCGAAGAGAGATAGGGCTTCATGCTTCTCCTTATGATCTCCAGTATACTTGTCGAGGAGTGTAGAGGAGTCACGAAGGTGTTCCTGACCGTTGCTTGAACAAAGGCGAACTTCCATTCCACATCCGCCTTTGTTGCTTGTTGGGTGCCCACTGTACAGAACTGAGAAGTGGAGTCGAGACCCCGAAACCTCAGCAAAGGCTCGCCAGAGCACCGGGATCATCCTACAGCCAGGGCATTGCGGCAGTGGACGGCAGAACTGTTCAAAGCTCCCCTGGAGAACGTGGAAGCAGTGCGATTGATCCGGCAGCTCCCGCTGTGATAGCACGTGTGGCGTTTTCCAACCAGACTGCTTCCCCCTAAGTCAGAGACTTTTCTGTGCTTCTGCTGCTCAGAGCCGGATTGATCTGGAGCAGGTACCGGCAAGGCGAGGGTGCCCTTGCCCCACATGCAGATGCAAGGCCTGAACATGACACGAGCCTGTGGCTGAGCGGGCAACGACTCGCCACAGTGATGCTGCAGCTGGGAGCTTTGCCTCATGGAGCTGGTGGTGACCTACTTTTCCCATTGCTGGAGGAGGGTAGAGGAAAGCAGGTGGGCAGCTGTTGGACACATAAACCTCCCAAGTTGGTAACGATACCTCCCAGCTCCTCCGCCCAATGCCACTAGCGATCAGGTAGCACTCCAGCCTGGGAGTGCCCTGGTGTGGCCCACCACTGACCGCGACGGCCAGCCAGAGAAGCGGGCCGCGCGAAAGGCTCTGCAGCTTCAAACTGCCGCGACGAAGTATGTGGCCATGACCCTCCGATTGCAAGATCAGCTTTCCTCGTTTTCAAGGTTTAGGCGGTGCTAGGTCCTAGGACGACACAAGCGCAAGCAATAGAGCCACGAAGGACTTTATAAATACCCATCGTTCTTTTACGATACGAAACGATACATACGATACATGTCATATCACTGCTGTACTTTCCACGCCTGTGCAGATCAGATGATTTCACAACATGCGATTAACATGCCTCGGCATAGAGAGAGAGAGAGAGAGCAGCACAGAACAAGAGGACGCATGCTCCGAATATGCCCCGTCCGAAGGTTAAGGAAAGGCAACACGCAGAATCGTGTGACGTATGCTTTGCGTGACACATTGGAGGTCGGCACGTCTTTGCGGGATACTCTGGGTGCGGCTTCACTCGATTCACAGACCGAGGACTTGGCTGCGCACTGGACCTGCGCCGGGTGAGCTCGGGGGTGTTCCCGGATGAGGACCGGAGAGGCTTAAGACTTCCGGGTTCGATGATTTCGAGTTCAGCGCATTACCAGTATCGCATTTAGGGCTTCCCAGCGTGAACTCGGAAAGCCTGCAGAAAAGGGCTTCAGTGATTCAGGTTCCAAACCGTCACACGGCTGAGCCTCAGCATCTGCTCGAAGGAGGCTTACATCGGCCAGAACTTCGAAGACAAGGCCCTCGAGAAGCCGGTGAAGGACGTGAGTCCCTCTGCGCAGTGGACAGAGCATCCTGGCTGCCTGCAGCCCCCGAGCCCCGCATTGCAGCAGACCTTGCTGCTGTCCGGACCATGCAGACCACGGCTGCCACACAAAGGATGTGCAAAGGAGCAAGCAGCGCGGGGTCGAAAAGGATCAGTCGCTCGGGGTACGCTTGTGGGTGCCTAGCCTTGACTATGCAAGTGTTCGACCGAAGTGTGATCCTACTGAAGACATGCAAGTATACAAGTTCAGCCCCCGTCGCATGCCCACACGGTTCCCATCCTCGGGTTTCTTTTTAAATCCAAGTGATTCCAAGTGCTTGTTTTACTCAAGCTCCACAGTCGCCAAACTTGCAACCGAAAGACTCAAGCGGAATCTTACCACACGCTTAATTCGCTCATCGGCGGTGCGCACTCCTTGGCCTCCAATAACTTCGGAGCATGGCCCCGGCAGGAGACCTGACGCCGTGTCAGAGGTTCACCAAGTAGCAGCCTCTTGGGGCGGGTCGCGGGCCCGGGCATGCCCATGATAGATTCTGCTAGTTTCATATTCAGCTTCATGCTCGTTTCACTGCACATATAGCTGAGACACGCGTGGCAGAGCTGCAAAAAAGCAGTAGACTATATGCTTTCCTGTGTCAGGGACAAGCCTTCCATTGACGTCAACAGTGTGCAAGGCAGCGAACTTCCGGTCTTACCCGTAAGCCCTCACCCGTTGAGCAATCCTGGCCTGCCTCGTGCCATCACCGTTTGCCATTGCTGATCAGGCGCAAGGCTACGAGGATGTCGTCCGGCACCTCCCGAAGCTGGACGTCGCCCTGAAAGGCGGCGGCATCTTTCCCGACTTCCTTTTGAAGCCTACGGTAGTAGCTTGGTTTTTTTGTAGGGGATGCTCACGCCGACTTCAGCAAGGGCACGCTTGCAGCATCTCCTTTCTTCGCGGAAGAACGGAGCTACATCGTAGCCCTTGCTCCCAGCACAGCCGCTGGTCTCAACCTACACTCCCGGTCCCAAAGTGTGTGTCCAACTATGCTCCAAGTAGTGTTGCCCGCCAACCCGTACATGGCCGTTTTGCAAGCCCCTGAAGAGCTGAAGGTTTGAGGCAAATACGAACTTCGAGGGGACTAGCTGTGGGGCGTGTCTTCTAAAACATCTCAAACGCGTGGCCGCAAAGTTTTTGTCAAAAATAGTGGTAGCCGTGGCAGAAGCACGACGACGGGGTGGTGTACAGCACGTCCCGCCCATTCACCCGGCCCTGCCGGTTCTTTGGAGTTCTGTACTCTGTTGAATCTCGAAATTCTCTTGAGCTGAGGTAGACCCGAAGCCTAAAGCTTGTTCTGCGAGCCTGCACCTGTCAACAGCTGTCAGCCCGAACCGGTGACGGCTCCTCAGTTTGTCGGCTGTCCTTTCTCTAGTGTGCTCTACACCCGGCGAAACGCTCATCCCCTCGGAGTCTCAATGACGAGAAACCCAAAACCACCTCTCGTCGCATCGAGCTGCCAGATTCGCCATCTGCAACGCTGGAAGATCTCTATTCAGCACTTGCTTGCTGCAGCCGCCGGGGCCCGACGGACCATTGCCATCGCATCCATCGCCTCATCATCCTGGTTTTTGCGGGAGCATTCTGTATTGCACGTTGGGACCTGCACATAGTCGAAGCTTACGAAGAGGAGTCCTCTGCAACGTCATGTTTCATCCGGAGCCCATGTCCCGACCATACGCAGGTTGTGATGAGCCCTGCCGCTTTGAGGGAGCCTGCGGCTTGGGAGCTTCAGGGCTGTTGTCAGGCTTCAGGTGGTGCTTCTCCGCACTCGTACTTGGGAGAGCGAGTAGCAGGTGCTGGTATGTTCCGGAAAAATGGCTCAGGAAGGAAAGACCGACGGCAAACGGGCCTGAACATGGAAGCTCTGAGACAGGAACCACGACTATCATTATCCGCAGAGTTGTGCCACGGTCAGCTTGGGGGGTGAGTCTTGAGAGAGTGCCGAAGGCATTGCTTCATCAAGCGACCACACATGCAGTGAATCGAATCACGGGACAAGGAGTCATGTTCCCGTGCAGCTGGATATGCATGCGCTGTTTTCGGCTCGTCGAAGTTCCAGTAGGCATTGCCCACGCGTCTCCAAAGAGGTGCAAGACTCTAAGCACGGTTTCGGTTGATGTGAAGACCGTTTCTAACGTTGGGGTGCAGCCGTAGCTTATCAGGCGGTCTGAGAAGTCGGGTTCCGACTTGAGGTAAGTAAGTTTCAGTCCAGCAGCTCGCAATGGCTGTGTGGTGGTTCACCACGCTGGGGCAGCTCCGCTGCACTCATCACGAGATGTGTGGCTGCGTCATAGAGTCATAGAGTTTACGCAGGGCTTGCTTGCACAGCGTAGTTGCAAAGACGTCAAATCAGGCCTTTGCCGCACGAAGCGGCCGAAAGCCGACAGGCCCGTAACGTGAAGCCGCAAGCCCCCAGAACCCTAAATCGGAGCCCTCAACTTACTATGGAGAAGGTTTGGCCCCAACCTCAAGGCAATCTGGTCGGTTTGCAACCGTCGAGCAATACGAACATCTACATTCCAAAACCCAAAACCCATTGTGGGACCGAGGCAGGGAGGCGAGGCGAGGGGTGGGAGAGGGGAGAGAGAGAGAGAGAAACCTGGACCCCGCAGTGAAGTGAAGTGAAGAAATAGCAAGAACGAGTGGCTCCAAAAAACAATCAAGGCTCGGCCTTGCTTGGGGCCTTGACCCGGCTTTGCGGCAGGTGCCTTGGGTGTGAAGTAATCACTTTTTTGGAGGTGAGGGTTCAGGGTTGGGTTCAGGGGGCTTTGAAAATTCGGCTCCTACTGCTTGCAGTTGTGGGGACCTTGAACGACTTCTCCCTGATCTTCTCATAAGGTCGTCGATGGAGCCAGAGAAGCATCCCAGAACGCGTCGAAGCAGGCAGCACGAATCCTGTCTGCTGCTTGGCACGATATTTCAGTTTAGAAGTATAGTTGGGCCCAAAACCCTATTCTAGTTATTTCGGCCCCTATACTCACCCTGAAACCCCAAACCTACTATACTTACAGTCAGAGGCAATGGGCCTTTCCAGGGCTCAGGGGCAAAGGTTTCGCCCGAATGTGGAGGAAGGCAGGGGCCGGCTGCGGTTTGGCGCATCTTGAGAGTAGTCTGACGGTTTTGCAGCTGGTGGTCTCGAGTGTTACGAGATACAAGCTGGAGCACAAAGATTGAGATGGCGAGATGGGGTATGGGTGCCGCAACCAAGGAGCTTTTCGACACGCACTTGTTCCGCTTCGAGCTGGCATTGCAAGGCCCCATCGTTCATCATTATCGCTTTGCCCTGGAAGACAGGCTTCACCGACTCTATCTATCTCTCTCTCTCTCCGATTCCTAGGACCTAGGACTTCAAGTGGCCTGTGATAATTTTGGGGGATGCTGCGCAAGTCTCCTGTCTCTTTGCAACAGCACCGACAGCCGTCTCTCTTACCCCTGAACCCGACATGCTCACCTTCCATTTCTGCACGATGAGGCCTCGGTCTCGCCTTTCGCCCATGATGTCTGCCGAACCTCATGCCAGACATCATCATAGGCATGGGCATCGTATGATCATGTTGCTGCTGCCGGTGATGCTCCTACTGCTGCTCCTACTCCAAGTGCATACGATGACGACGAAGAGGACGACAGCGACTGGCATGCGGCGTAGTCGCACCGAAGTATTACATCGTTCTCGGTCTAAACGCTGAGCAGGCGGTGGCAAGGGTAGGCGCTTGGCTTCCCTGCCCACCGACGCGCTGCTCGCCGAGGTGGAGGAGACGATCACCATGCCGCAAAACCTGAAGCCCCAAGCCCCAAATCTCGTTGGCACGCCCGTGGTTTGGAGGCGTGGGCTTGGTCTAGGGGTCAGAGTGTATTTAGAGGCACAATGCTTGGAGGGCGGGGAGGCGGGCAGACTTCAACCTTCATAACTTTGAGTTCTACTGCACGTTGCTCCGAACAGGATGCTCTCAAGTCATTGGAGTGGGTGACGAACTTCGGCTTGGATGTTGACAGCCGCAAGGAGCACCCGGGCGAATCTGCAGCTCGGCTTACCTCTTGTGCAAATTGCAGATCTTGCAGACCGTCGGGTTGTATTTTCTCATGTCGCCCGTGTAAAAACTCCTAGACTGACGGCTTCAAGGCTGGCTTCAAGATGTCCGTAATAGCTCAAACCGAATCTGAAGCGAAGGGTGCGCGAGAAATAGCAGACTCCAAATGCCGAGTCATTGCTTCCAAAGCCTCTGCGGAGTATGTGGTGCCTTGCTAATGAGAAGTGATGTTCCACTAATTCGTTTCTCGGCCCGTAGTGCTTTGTAATGCATACGGTGCATACAGCTGCCATGGGAATCTTGGTTGGGACCATTGGGTCTCTAAGCCTATGAAAGAAGGTGACCCCGCCCCTCAGGCCCTATCCATCGACACGGTGGATGCCTTCGGCGGACGATTTCCAGGAATTTGGGAGCTGAAGGCGCGATGAGAAGCGTCGGATCCATCATCTTCGGTTTGTACGTAGAACTTTTCGTCTAGGCTTTGGGGGGTTTGTGGGTGCTTCCGTGTCCTGGCGTGTCATCCAGTACGGCCATATTTTGCGATTCTATCAACGGCACTCCTATCTTGATGCTGTGCTTATCTCCATACCTCAACCTGAACCCTTCTCGTTTAGTTCTGCTGCAGTGACGTCGCTTTCAGCGGAAGAAGGACCTGGGTACCTTTTTTGTTGTTCCCTCTCCTTGTCCTCTCCATGATTGCGCATACTGGTTGTGAATAATCAAGGGCTGGAGCTGTTTATAAGCCCAAGTTGCAGCTTCGCCGACGAAGCCCAGGCACTGAATTCCAGCGTTGTGGCCAATGTCTCCAGCAATCAGTGGGGTGTCGTGGCATGCACATGGCATTGGGAGGGTTAAGGGTTTAGGGCTAGGGCTGGGTGTACAAGTCATGCCAGTTGCTGCAGTTTGTCGTGTTTTTTGTTAGCCTTCTGTTTGCGAAGTCTTGTGAGAGTCAGGGTCAGGGGCTCTGTGCGCTGTCGTTTTTTGAGCTCTGGGGGTAGGAAGTGGTCAGCAAAGCAGCTGAAGTCTTATTAAGCATGTGGGACGGGATGCAGCCCTAGACGAGCGCGAGAATGAGAAGAGCCGTGTAGACCCAAAACCTTGAACCTCTCTTTGTAACAAGACAGATTTGCTGCACCTCGAGCCGACACTGAGAACTAGCAACTAGCCGATAAACCCAAGCTACACCTCACCAAAACGATTAGCCACTAACGCTTTCGACCGCAGTTCTCTCAAAATGAGTTGGTGATTACTGGTGAAAATGTCAGCTCACTCTGTAGTTGTTTCACGCTTCTCTTGCCCCTTGTTTTGGGATTCTGCTTTGATCCCTGCAGATGCCGGAAGCGAAGTTGCGCGTCAATTAGTCATGTCGCTGATGTTGACTTGTCACCGCATCGGATGCAGTTCCCCGAAAAGAAAATTCAACGGTTCAACGACGAAGACTAGACCAGTACCGGATCCTTCTCGACGCTGTTTGACTCGCCGACCCGAACCTTCGACCCTTGCCCCGAAACCCAAACCCCTGAACCATCCGAGTTGCAAGAGCCCAACCCCTAAGCCCCTAAGCCCCTAATGCAAACCCGACGGGCAGATGGAATCCCAGTTCTTTTCTGCATGAGGCGTCTTGGAGGCTGCTGAGCAAGGCCAGCTGAGCCCATGTGGGGCTTTAAGGTTTAGGGTGTGTTTGGTTTTGGGTTGATGTGAAGGGACTGGCTGGAGGGAAGCTTGCAGGTCCGCGGCGGGTTGCTTTGCAAGCGGGGTGAGGGGTTCGGGCTGTGGTTCGAAGGATTCTCGGGCCTCACTGCTCTAGAGCCTTCTGGTCAAATTGAGATTGAGATCTGCATCTAGTTTGTCAGTTTGTTCATACAGATGTGGACTGAAAATCTGAAGCAGATGCTTGAAACCCCAATGGCTACAAGTTCTCGAACCCGTCTAAAGTCAAGCTCGAAGTTTAGAAAGGCTTCCTCTTCTCTCGCAGGCCCATGTACTGGCCTGATTAGCCCTGCAGGTAGGTTGTTGAGTCCCAAGGCTTTGAAGTCGGAGCTCGGTAGCCCCTCTTGGATGTTGGAGCTGACCGGTAGACTATGTGTCGTGCTTCGGAAATCTCGATGTTCACCTATGGCCCACAAGAGGCGGGGTGCGACTTTCAAACATGATGTGATTCCTGCATCAGGGCGTCCTAGGTACATGGGAGTTTCCGAAAATTAGGGGTACCTTATTTTGGGGTCCTTATAATAAGGATCCTACTATTTAGGGCACTATATTAGGGTCCCCTATCTTCGGAAACCCCCACATCGCGAAGAAGGCCTGCTCCCCAAGCGGCGCAGTCCTTGCCCTGGAAGTCCCAGAAGCCCAATACCCCTTAATTAAGGAATATGTCTTAAATCATAATATTAAGGGCCCTATAGTTTAGGGTATATTCCTTCATTAAGGGGTATTGGGTTCTCTGGGAGTCCCAGAAGCCCTTTTTGCATGTTCCGGGGCAGAGGCCTCTACGGGCTTCCACCCTTCGAGCACTTCGCCGAGCCCAGTGCCACAGAGAGTCGACTGCGGCCGAGGCTGGTTTGCCTAAAACAGAACTAAAACAAGCTATGAATACATTACCACAGGGTTTAGGGTTTAGGGTTTAGGGCATTACAGCTTATAAGGCTGACTTCGTGCTTGTTCTGGGAAAGGCAGCAACAG